AATACCCTAATTTCTTTAACTGATATAATGTTAATATACCAACCTACTGAAGTACTGAAATCTGTTTTGTACCTGAAACACTGATAACCACCAAAAGCAGGTGGTGATGGGGAAAGTCACATGATGAACCAACGCTCATCACAAGCATTTATATATATTTATTTATTTATATAAATCGATTAAAGCATTGATTGGGGGGGCATCAGCAAAATGGAGAATTTTATTTAATAAACAAATAATCTCTTATGTTTTTTTATCTTTTAAGACTTTTCTCCAAAAGAGCTGAATAATGTCATTATCATCACACACAGTAGTTGATGTTCGATCAAAGCCTTGAACAGATATTATACTCCGGAACATGTTCAAGGTGCCCCAGATGAAACAGCTCACAGAAGTAGTCCAAAGTGCCCTGAAGTATCACCCTTATATATCAGGTGTGTCCAGGTCACGACTCACCAGGGTTTGGCTGAAGCACAACTTCAGTCTGTCGGTAGATTTTCTCGGTCCAGTTTTTGGTGCAGTCAGCTCTGGACAGCAGATTCTCAAAGTGAGTGTCCAGCTCGGTCTTCTCAGCCTGTCCCAGTTTCTCCTCTGTAAACTGAAGCAGAAGTAATGAGATCAACAAGAATCGGTCATATTCCTGAGAGGAAACGCATTAAAAAAATACCTTATTGGCCCGAATATAAGACGACCCTGATTATAAGACGACCCACCTTTTTCCAGATGTACCTTTTGGAAAAAAAGCTTTTTAAAAAACAAATCTTGTTTTTTCTCAGTAAAACACATTTTGTCTTCAATTATTTTCATATTGCATATTTTTCCTATTTTAATTTTTGTTTTGAAAGTATGGTAAAAACTGGTAAAATGTACCAACAATCACATTAAAAAAATATACACTTTTTGATATAATCGTCTTATATTCGGGTCAATACGGTAATAACAAACAGCCAGTGTTGGGGAGTAACTAGTTACATGTAACTAAATTACGCAATTTACAGTTTTTTTCAACTGCTTACACACAAAATCTTTACTTGTCACACAATTTCTGAAACCTGACACTCAAACA